GGGGGGGGGGGGAGGGGGAGACCACGCGGGCTGGGCTCTCGGGGCTGCGTCCCCGGCGGCCGCGCGCGGGGTTGGGCGCCTACCTTTCCTGAAGGGCATCGCGGAGGGGTGCGCCCCGCGGGGCCGGCCCGGGATACCGAAGCCGGGCGACGTCCGAGTGCCAGCCTCGCGGCTCGGGGGCGCCTGCGGGCGCCGGGCGAGGGAGGGGGGAAAGGGACATATTTGGACAGAGCGGGGCGCGTCACCGCCGGAGGGTGGGACCGCGGCGAGGCGGGCGGCGCGGCCTCCGGGGCGGGCCCGGCGGAAAGCGCTTAACCCCTGCGCGCCCGGCGCCGCTGCGCGCCCCTCCCCACGCCGCGGGGACACCTTCCGGGCGGGGCCTCGGGGGACCGCCTCCCGCGCTGATTGTGCCCTCGGGCGTTCGGCACGGGCACGGGGTGGGGGAGGGGGGCGGCGCCAACGGCGGGCCGGCGTGGACGGAAATTAAATGAAGGCCGGAGGGAGTAATCCCCGCAAAGCGCATCTCTGGCCGCCCTCGTTGAAAATCCTTCCAGCTCCTGGGCTCCCGCCCCGCGCTCTTCCACCCCCCACCCGACCCCACCCCGGCAGTGATCGCCTCCGGCAAACTGTGCGTCTCTCTCTCTCCCTTGCGCATCGCTGTTTCCCCGGGGACCTAGAACAGCACCTCACATCCTGATCAATACATATGTCAAAAATAATTTTAAAATGATAATAATAAGGGGACTTCCAGGAACCGTAACCTCGAGAAATGGAGAAGGGAGACCATTCCTCACATCACTAAACATTTTGTGTGAAGGCCAGCACCCGAAAAATGCTTAACTACTTGGTGGGATCAAATTTCTCGAAGGCAGAGGTCATCTGTCCGTCCAGGTGAGAGTTAGTTCCTGTGAAAAAGTGCTATTTTATGTTACAGTTTGAAGAAATGGTGTTGGGAACAGTTTCCAGATCTAATATTTAAGGTACCTATGCAATTCCCCACTTTCTACGTAGTGGAAAAAAAAAATCCAGGTGAACTGAAAAGTCAGAGCCAGTGGGGTGTTCGTGGGTTTTTAATCATTTCGTGATGGGGGGGGGGCGGGTGCAGTTCCTTGGGCTGCTACCCTTTATGGGTGGTGGTCCAGACTCCACCCCCACATTCGAAGGGAGCCCACGTCTGGGAGAAGGAAGCCAGCGTTGGTTCAGACAAGGTATTGTCATTTGGGTTCCTGAGCTCTCCGACTTCAGCTCCTGAGTGTGGGTGTCAGTCTGTGTAAGAGGAACAGGAAGTGGGGGGGGGGGGGGCAGATCTGACACTGAGAGAGATCGCCAAGGCCCTCTGCCCTTTCCCCTGCCACAACCATAACACCCAGCGGACCTGCACTTTACACCATGGACTCACTTGCAGGAAGGCAAATTTTATCTAAGGCCAGATAAATGCAAGCCTGCATATCTCGGATTTGTGCGGCTGCCAGTCACAGTGAAGCCAGAGGACATGCACCCGGGGGAGGGCGGGGACCTCTTCCTTGTAGCTGGTGCCTTTACTCTTTACTGCCTTGTGGACTCAGGCGGCTGATTGTGATACAGTAAGACATGCGTATTTGGTCTTTGTTCCCAGTTCCTGGCACCTGGCGCTTAAAAACCTCGGAATCTCTAGAGCGAAAAGAGGGTTTTTGCATGTTCATGAAATGACTGGTGGCTGAGACACTTAGGTAGCTTCAGGATAAGGGCTGGTGGCCAGAAAGACCACATCATGCTTAGAGGGTTGGAACTCTCAGCTCTATCCCCCCACCCCCACCCAGGGAGGGGAGAGGGGCTGGCAATTGGGTCGGATCACCAGTGGTCAGTCATGCGCATGTAATGAAGCCTGGATAAAAACCCCTAAATGACGGGTTCGGAGAGTTTCCAGGCTGAAGGTGGCAGGTTCCGATAGGACGGGGAGGCCCCACGCACCTCTACCCGCTCACCTCGTCCTACGCTCCTCTCCCATTTGGCTGTTCCTGAGTTGTATAAACTGATACATGCAATAAACTGATAATAACAAGTAAAGCGCTTCTCCGGGTTCCGTGAGCAGCGCTAGCAAATTATCAAACCTGAAAGCGAAAGTCGCGGAGACCCCAGACTTTGTGGCCACGTCAGACAGAAGAGCGGGTACCTGGGCACCCAGTCGTTGCACTGGCATCTGAAGTGGGGGGCAGTGTTGTGGGGCTGAGCCCCTTGTTGCCCTGTGGGGTCCATGCCAAGCGCAGGGAGTTAGTGTGGGAACTGGATCCAATTGCAGGACACTTGGGAGAAGCGCTCGTAGGTGTGGAGAGTCCCCCCATGCGGAATCAGAAGTGATGCAGGAAAACCGGTTCCCCACAGAGGAACCGGAGCCCCATCTCTCGGACTCGTGGCTGTCTTATTCCCATCATTTCCGAGAGCAGCCCTCTCTGATGTTGGGTCTTGTTGTTCATAATCCCCGGGGACGTCTGTTCTTTCACGTCCAATCAGAACCTGCCAACAAGGGTTGCCGTGGACACTTCATAACCGCAAGAGTGTCTCTGCTTGTCCTTTGCACAAGGGAGGCAACAGCCTAGGCAAGTTCACACAGGAGAGAAACGAGTGGCCTGAAAGATTGGATTTGCTCAAGAACTACTAATTCACTGTGGCCAGTACCCAGTATGGGCTGGGGTAGTGGTTCACAGCCCCCTGGTTTTCGGCACGGAGGCAGGATTTGAAGAGATCCTAAGTGGAGAGTATATTCCGGGGCACTTTCCACAATACAGTCTGAGTCGCAGAGTGAAGGAATCGCATCATTATTCCCCAAACTCCCCGTTGTGTCTGCTGACGTTTCTGTTCTGGGTCTGATGACCTATGGACGGGACAGTACTCTTCTGAGGAGCTCTGAGCACAGCACACTGCCGTCTAGAGTCCAGCCTAGTGGCTGGAACCTTGCGGAAACAGAAAGAGTTGTCAGGCGGGTTCCAGTCTTCCTCCAGGGCCCCAGCTGTCATCGTGCTAGAATGGCCACCATCACTAGCACCAGCCGGTCAGGTCATCGGGGGCCTGAGGACAGAGCTGCTCCAGCCCAAGGGCAGGGAGCAAGCTGCAGGACTGGATTTGTGACAGCTGGCTGGGCCCCAGGGGCGGTTTCTGATTTAGTAAGCCTGGGGCGGGGCCTGAAGCTTCCCAGGTGATAAGGGTGCAGCCGGCCCTCCTAGTGTAGGGCTGCGCTCAGACACCCAAGAGGGGGAGTGGGACCGGGCTGGGAGGGGTCCTGCAGGATCTGGAGCAGAATCAGGGCTCTTCCCACCCAGGGCACCAGCCTCCCTTCTCCTCTGGTCCCGGTGCTCCGCGGGGCGCCTCCCGGCCCAGGCTCTTGGGGCAGAAAGTGCCAGAGCCATGGCCTCTGGTTTTCTTACTGCAGGAAGAAAAGGGCCCCCCTTCCCAGATTTCTTTTCCAGTTTGTAGGCCAAACTGAAGGCTTTCATGCTCTCTCCAAAGTGAGGGTAACACTCAGAGATCTAACACGTTCCACCCCGGAAATTCATCTCTACCCACAAGTCTTTCCTCTCTAGCTGTAGGATGTGAGGTTTGGTCTCCAGTGAAGGAACTGAGGTCATAGGAAGAGGGAACATTTGATCGGGGTCAGGGAACACTGGTAAAGAAGAGTGTGTTAGGAAGGAAGGAAGGAAGGAAGGAAGGAAGGAAGGAAGGAAAGAAGGGAGGGAGGGAGGGAGGGAGGGAGGAAGGAAGGAAGGAAGGAAGGAAGGAAGGAAGGAAGGAAGGGGCGTGCCTGGGGACAGGGACCAGCAGGGCCCATAAAGTACTTGAGGGCCCCACCCCCACCTCCACCAGACTCCCCAGAGTGATGAGTCCAGCGGCTGTCCCCACTGCAGGCCACCCCCCATTGATACGGTCCGGGTGGTTTAAAGCTGCTGCCGCCTCAAGCTTCTGGGCCCCTGGGTCCTGCCAAAAGGCAGACCTCCGGCCGGCCAGCCCTGGCGTGGGTGCACGCAAGACGCAAGCAAGGGGTGAGGAGAAGACACCGGCCGAGAATCTCTGCCATGGCTTCCTAAGGCTGTATGATAGACCCTCTTCGAGCTTCAGTATTTTGCCTATAAAATGGGCATAATGCATTCTTTACAGGTTGCTGTAAGGATCGCGTGAAATCGTATTTGCCTGGAGCACACGTGCTCAGTGAAAGGCAGCTGCCATTATGAGTAACATTAGCAGTAGTAGAGCTGGAAGCAGGGGCCCTCGGGTAGTGAGAGGGAAGGTCCCAGAAGAAGAGAGAAGCCATGGGGAGCATGGGGGAGGGGAGGGCGTGGGGCAGGAGCAGGTGGGCTGGCCCAGGAATGTCGGGGCTGAGCTTCCTTGGGGTCGAGGGGGCCGAGGGAAATCCAGCTGCTGGGGGATGAACAACTATCCATTACCAAAATGTGTGTGTGTGTGCCTGTGTGTGTGCATGGGCGGGCACGCATGCACGTGGTCACCTGCGCACACCTAATTATGGAACTATGAAAGAATCAATGATTCACAGTATTGGAGAAAACTATAAATACTAAGGGTAGCTATAAGGACACATCTAACTCACGGCTGTTGGTTCCTAAACACCAGTCTCCGACTGAAGGAGCCAAGAGCCCCCAGAGGGTTTGAGCGGCTAAGCACAGGATGAGCCTGGAACATCTTGTTGTGCCAGAAAATAAGTAATCATTTTGCAGACCTGCCGACAAACGACGGGGACGCGTCCAAAACACACAGGATCCAACGTGAAAGGGCTCCTCCAAAACAGTCATGGCAGCAATGGATTGTGACCCAGAGAACAAAGTGAGAAGCCATGAGTCCACACTGGCATAAATAAATAGGAAAGTGAATAGATACATAGGGGAGGAGGGAGAGCTCTTGCTCACAAATCCTAGACCTCACAGAAATGACTAGAATCCTAGCTCATAGATGGAGAAGGAATCATGGTGCTAGAAAAGTCACCATTTGGCAAATAGCACAGAAATAATTGTTTCACAGAAGAACCCTCTGGGGAGGCTAAAATTAGCAAGCAGCAATAATGCAGTGAGACACAGGATACTAACAGTCTCAAAGTACCTCCTACAAGGTAAGTATTAATTGCAAAGGGGAAGGTGGTGGCTTTGCGGTAGAAAAAACTGGAAGTCACCTCCACCACCTAATCAAAGTCAACGTCACCAGTAATGGACCAAAGCAGCATCAGGTGCCTCTTGATACAATGCACTGAGAAGGACACATCACATGGGCAGTATTCTTGCGCAAAAATGCATAACCTGAATTTGATCATGAGGAGACATGAGACACCTAAAATAAAGGACATTACAAAAATAACTAGCAAACAGTTCTTCAAAAATGTCAAAATCGTGAAAGACAAAGATAGACTGAGGAAGTGTTCTTGCTTTACAGGCAGCTGACGAGCCATGAAGACCAAATGGAACATGGGATCCTGGATGGCTTCCTGAACCACAGAAGGGACATTAGTAGGACAGCTGGTGAAACAGGAATAGTACTGTACCAATAATAATTTCCGGATTTGGGTAACCGTACTGTGTTTATGCAACATCTGGAGAATTGGGGGAGGGGTGTTTGAGACTTCTTTAGACTGTTTGCAAAATGTTTGTAAGTTTAAAAATTCAGAACAAAAAGTTAAAAAAAAAAATTAAAGAGTAATCATAGAGACTGCAGAACTCGCTAAATGAGACAACTCCCAAACTGATCTGGCTGTGTGATCAGCTACTAATTACCATTAATGATGGGAACTGCCTCATTTCCAGGCAGCACAGCGAGGAGGAGCTTTTGCCACAAACTTAGTGGCTTAAAATACCACCCATGTATTCTCTCCCGATTCTGTAGGTCAGAAGTCACACTGGCAAGACTGGGGTCTCTGCTCAGCGTCTCAGGAGGCCGAAATCACTGTGAGTGGGGGAGTTCCCAACCGGAGACTGGAGAAAAACCGCCTCGCAAGCTCATTCCCAGGGCAGAATTCAGTTCCTGTAGTTCAGGAGTAAAGTCCTCACTTCCTGCCGGCCGCCAGCCGCCAGCCGCCAGCACTCTGTTCCCAGGGGCTGCCCGCATCCTTGCCACGTGGCCGCCTCCTGTCTTCAGGTCAGCGGAGGCAGGTGGATGGCTTCTCGGGCTTTGAACTCTGACCCCTTCCTCTGGGACCAGCGGAGGAGACTCCCTGCCTTAAGGAAGGACACAGGCCCTTGCAGAGGGTTTCCGTATCGTAAGCCCAGCTGATTTGGGATCCTACTTTTGTCTGCAAATTCACGGCAATACTGGGTTAGTGTTTGAGTAACTGGGGAAGGTTTGTGTACACGAGGGCCAGGAATCCTGGGGCCACGTGGGAGTCCTGCCTGCCGCAGGGTAGTTTCTTAAACCAAATAAATGGATATAAACGGGCAACAGGTTTGTGGACGGTGGGGGGCACGGCCTACCTGCTCTGAGGACGTGGGCTCCCCGGTGCCCACCAGATCAGTCTGACCTGGCTCAGAGAGAGTCTCCTTCTTCCCTACTAATCCTCCTGTTTAAACCAGTTCCTAAGTACAGCCCTGACCGTGTTGGAATGAAATTATCATCTCTTCTCTTTCCGGTCGCGGAGTTTCAGAAATCAGGATTCAGTCTCTAGGGGACAGACGCTATCCACATCCTCGCTGTCCCGGATGGAAGGAGAGTAGCATTGTGCTTAGTGCTCAGCAGCAGCTCCGGAGGCACCAGCAGCTGGGAGTGCACGCCCTGGGGCTGCCCAGTTCCCTGCCAGTCGGGGACAGTTGTCCCTTTCTTCACAAGGGAAGAGTGGCTGCAGCGAACGGGGTTTAAGTTGGGCCTTTGAAGCCCCCCGAGCCCAGGGCCGGGCTTGCATTGAGGATGGAATCACTGAAAACATCAGAGCCCTAAAGGACTCCAGAATGTCACCAAGCTGCTCTTGTGAAGCTCGCTCCTGTGCCAGCAGATGACCAGTCTTTTTGTCGTTGTTGCAACGAGCGTGTCCTTTTTTCTCAGCACTCTGACAAACTCCTGCTTCAAGCAGGGGCGAGCATTCACCCCCACTGGCTACTGACAAAGCTGCGGCTAAGGGAAGTGGCCTGCCCTGGGCGCCTGGCCACAAAAGACGGAGCAGGGACCTCCAGCTGGGCCTCTCAAAAGATGCCACTGTCCTCACCGTGCCACACCCTCTCTCCAGGGAGCTGTGTTCTCTCCAGTCAGTCGTTGTCCTCCGGGCGGGGCATCACAGCCCTCAGAGAGCTTGGCTGAGCTGGGAACCCAAGCCCATCCGACCTCAGTGTTTTTAGTCTTAATAACCTATTTACGGCTGAGAAGCCAGACTGCCTCTTTCCCAGAAGTCAGGCACAACTGCTCTGGCCAAGCGGTGGCTTTCCACTCCCATTATGGTCCTAGAAGATGATGCTGCCCTTCTGAAGAGGAAAATGAAGACTCTTTGTGATTCAAATGAGTCACATTGTCACTTCCAGAGAAAAAGCAAGTCTTCGAAGTGGGCTCTCACTTAACCCGTGATCAGAACAACTTGGAGGCAAACTGGACGGCATCGTGGAGGCTACGTGGTGGAAGATGTGTGACCAGCTCCAGAACTGGCCCTCCCTTCCACGCCCCGGGCCATTTCTTCCCTCCTCTGCCTCTGTGTCCCCATCTGTAAAATGCAGAGAATATTAGTTGTTGGCCCGATGTGAGGTCCGAATGACTGCTTAAAAGAGAAGCAGGATTTCTTTTTTTTTTTTTTTTAATGTTTATTTTTGAGAGAGAGAGAGAGAGAGACTGCAAGCAGGGGAGGGGCAGAGAGAGAGGGAGACAGAGGATCCAAAGTGGGCTCTACGCTGACAGCAAAGAACTGGATGCAGGGCTCGAACCCACAAACTGCGAGATTGTGACCAGGGCCTAAGTCGGAAGATTAACTGACTGAGCCACCCAGGCGCCCCGAAAACGCAGAATTTCTAATGTTGGAGGAACATATATTTTTACTGCACTTTAGGTTTTCCTTAAGTTCTTAGACTTAACTCAAAGCTGCATTATTCTACTTATAACCTTATCATATAAAATACAGTAAAACTTAACAGTCATTGTTCAGGGGAATTTGATGACCAGTCCCATGTAGAAACCCAGCTATTTAAACTGCCTTATCAATTAAAAACTGCATTTATGAAATACTTTATACTTCAGAACACTTTGGTTTGCTCACAAGCCTTGCCAAATAACCAACTAAATATGGTGAATCTTCAGTTCTTTTATTAAATGTTCCCATACTGCTGACAATCTTAATAAAATTGCATCGCACCTTTTAGCTTAAAGCTCAGGTCATGACCTCAGAGTCGTGAGATTGAGCCCGAGTTGGGCTCTGTGCTGAGTGTGGAACCTGCTTAAGATTGTCTCTCAGTCCCTCCTTGGCTCACACGTGTGCTCGCTCATGCTCTCTCTCTCTCTCTCAAAAAAAAAAAAAAAAATTTTTTTTTTAAACTGGGATCACAAGGCCTGTCCATTGGATACTCAAATTTTCCACATCCTCTTAAGATTACAAGTTCTCAAGATGCCCAAGAGATACTGGTCACCTAAACTTAACCCCAAAATATCAAAAGTTTGGGTTTAATTTGCTTCATATTCCTCTGTTTAAATAGAAACTTTTCGGGGCGCCTGGGTGGCGCAGTCGGTTAAGCGTCCGACTTCAGCCAGGTCACGATCTCGCGGTCCGTGAGTTCGAGCCCCGCGTCAGGCTCTGGGCTGATGGCTCGGAGCCTGGAGCCTGTTTCCAATTCTGTGTCTCCCTCTCTCTCTGCCCCTCCCCCATTAATGCTCTGTCTCTCTTTGTCCCAAAAATAAATAAAAACGTTGAAAAAACAAAAAAAAATGCTTTAAAAAAAAAAAAACTTTTCCACAGTTAAAAGAAAAAGACCCTGAAGAAACAGTTATGTCATATCAGCAAGTCAGGGCTCCTGTCCCAAGGCACTGACTAAGGTTACTTATCGACCAGAAAGACCCTGATTGGGACAGCAAAAAATATCCAACATAATAAAGATTTTCCAGACCTTCTGAACTGTGGGTTATTTTTGCAATAACATGTTTCCAACTAAAAAGAAAGCTAAATTGTACATCTGCTGCTGGGGAGTTTCTAGATGGGACCCGAGAAGAGCTTTTCGGCTCTCAGAAGGCCTTTGCTGCTTCCAGAATTAGGGAATGAGTTTCTAATGGTGTCCTGGTCTGGGGTGCAGAGCGTCCTCAGGCCCAGGGCACTTAGCGACTACAGAGGAGGACAGCATGTGGACGGTCACAGGCAGGAGTGGAAAGCACAGTCCCATGGAGTGAGGGAGCTTCACCAGTAGCTGTGGGGGTCACCAAAAAGGCTTGGTTCGAAAGCGCAGACGGCACACTCAATGGAACTTAGGCCAAAGCGCGTCATCTGGAAGCGTGCTGACATCACTGAGAACGAAAGGCGGGACCCCCAAGCCCTAGGGGCGGGTGGCCACCTGAGGGGAGCCGCAGGACCCCGCCTGGCTCTCATCTCTTCCTTCCACTGGTCATCTGGCCGTGTCATGGCCGACTGGCCTCCACCACGGGGGTTCCAGCGATGGGGGTGGGGTGCCAGGGGCCCCCCACCCCGTCTCGCCTCCCCCACCCCCGCTGGAACCGAGGGCTCTGAGCCCGCAAGAGTGGCTCCCAAGGGAGGGAGTGTTACTTGGTAAGCGAGTGGATCAGCCCGGGTCACAGGAGCAGCTCAGGCCGCAGGGCTTTCCCAAGGCAGAGCTTGAGGGGGGGGGGGGGCGGTTACCAGAAGCGGCAGGGGGTCTCCGACACCAGGACCACGTGATTCAAGGTTGACCGGTGTGGTGGGGTGCGTGCGGGAAAGGAGCACCATTACGTCTTTCCCTTTTACCAGTGAAGCAAAAGCTTGCCCTCAAAGACCCAGATATTTCTGCGGCCATCTCATTAGGCAGAATTAGAACTTGGGTGCTGGGAAGCAGCAAGGGTACGAAAAGAAGGGGTAGGGGGTGCCGGTTCCCACGGAGCTCCTGTGTGGACGGGAGGGGATGTGAAGGCCTTTCGGGTCTTGCTCAGAATGACCCAGTGATGGTTGGGTGACGGGTTCTCCATGGGAGATGCGTTCTCTCTGTTTACACCCCAGTCCTTAAACTGACAGCAAATGTTCTAGACAAGCACCAATCTTGGACTAAGGACTTTTAAAACGTTTTACTAAAATGAACGGTTTTCAGATTTCCAAGATTAATCCGAAATTCACGACATGCTGTCTAGTAGGGGTGTCAGGCGTCTCAACTCGGTCATCTGTCGGAGGGTGCTTAGGGCCCCTCTCTGGCTGGCTGGACTGACAACTGGAAACTGATGGGGGCTTGGAACCACAGGTCTCGCCCACCCCTGGCCGAGAAGAGGAGTCGAGGAAGACTGCACGAGCCAGGTGAACATCTGAGGGTTTGGGTGGTTGGGGGTCCTCAGTGGCTTCCGTAAGGGGTTCACGCTTTGGAAGTTCTTGTTTTAATACGGCTCTAAAAGCCAGAAAACGGGGGAAATAATCTTTCCTCTAAAGCTCACAATGTGTTTTTCCGGCGAATTATATCTTCATCTGTTTGCTAGCACTATTGTTTACATATCTTAGAACCATATTTATACCCGTATTTTCAACATGATTTTTTTTTTCAACGTTTATTTATTTTTGGGAC